CAGAGCACACATTTGCATTTCTTTTATTAAAAGAAGCCCAAAATATTCTATACACGCAAAACTAGCTCTGCATTTAATTATCAGCATTCTAATTAACAATAAATGAGAGATTTAGCATCTCTTTAAACTGTTAGTCAAGCCTCAAAATCTGGCCTCTGTAAATGCAGTAGGTTCGAGCCAAGAACGTAAATGTTGGAGGATTTAAATATACATGAAACTTTAATAAAATTAAAAAAAAATCATGCTCTCAAACCCCATGAGACATTTCCTTCCCAAAGTCCAGTCTTTGCTTTTCAGGCCAGGATTCACCTTACCATACCGCTCGCTGTGTGTGAACTGCGTCCATCAAGAAAGAAATACATTACTGTATGTTAGTCAAAATGACTCTGTTTAATTTAATACATATTCCTAGCCTTATTATTACTACAAGGTTTGTCTTTATAATATTTTATTAAAACGTAATAACATTCTCCACATCTAATTTTTCATTTCACGTCAACTCTTCCCTCCAACTAGCTGTGATATAAACGCATTTTTTAAAATCCAGTCAATTTCTGCTGAGTAAAATAATGTCCCACTCTACAATGTGTTTTCCTCACTGGTTCATTTACTTTCATTTAGAAACTCAGAACTAAAATGGGCTAATGCCATTTTATGTTGACTTTAAACTTTTGATTTGATAATAAATAATGCATTTGATCAAATACAACTAGTCTGATGCAAAAAGCAGTGTCTGTGTGGGAATGTGTTGGTGGTTAAGACGTAAGATACAAGCTAAAAACTTTCGGGTAATCCTTCTCAAAAACGGTGATAAAGTTTTGGAGAACTTTATAATATTTAAGCTTTTTTCCAATTGCTTCCTCCCTGCCTTGCAAAAACATTTCTGCAATCAATTTATACGTAGAGTTTTGGGACAAAATGCAATTAGAAGGCATGATTATAAAACTGTTGACGCTTGGCTTTCGCAAAAGTTCCTTAATTAGCACTGATCTGGTGGAAAAGTACAAATAATTGTAGGATCGTGTAAAGACACTTTGTTCTCACTTGTTATTCTCTTGTAGTCACTAGGTCTCCAGTGAAAGAAAATAGAAAAAAAAAACACAAACTAAATTTAGACCTACCTGACTTTCAAATTAGATGTGCCTTTATTTTGACTTGCTGGTACAGAAATAATCCAATTAACCACTCAATGCTCTTTGCATCTGACAACGTCTGCCACAGTTTTAAACATCTCTGGACAGAGGACATACCCTACCAGTGGCTTTGTCTCATAAACACAAACAAATAAGTTCAAAATAAGTTCAGATGAACTTTTAATATTAATATATTTGCTTGTTTAGACCTCTATGGTTTTGAGTTGCCATATGGTTGTTTGTCGCAGTGGCATTATTTCACTGACCTATTGTGAGTATGTTCCTCGTACCTTTGTTTTTCAGGCTTCGTGATGGGAATATTCCACATATGTGTTGCTACATGGAGTTCTGCTGGGACAAAAAAAAAGTCGTATTAGTCATTCAAGATAAATCAATTGTACATTTCAGAGTTTTCTTTTTATTTACTCATATTTGTCACTTGTAGAACCTGATAACAAATCTTCTATTCAAGCACCATCCGATGAACCAGTAGTCATTTCTGCCTTCAAACCCTCTGAAATGTCTTTCTCTCGAAAAGTCCTCTCATTATCAGTGTAAGTGTGAACATATGAGATCAGCTCATTGCTGATGAGTTCTTCTCTTGACAATATGACGTCATCAGTTTAATGGTCTATAAGGGAATAATAAGATTAAATCTAATGAACAGCGCCAATCCTAATTTTCCAATTATCAAATCCCCCATTGATAACCATGTGGACAGAATCCCTATAACTATGACGATAAGCTTAGTTAAAAACTATAATGAAAAATGTAATAAGGCAAATGGCCTTTGGACTTAAGAGCTGGAACTGAGCACTTTGACTTATAGAGTCTAATAGACGACAGGCTGTTATTCACCTCATTGTACAGCAGTTAACCAGGCTTGATCCATTCCCAAAAAATCTACAAGCACTTATATCTCAGCTTCTTTTTATGAAAACTGACAGATTTCAGCTTTCTTGTGTTAGTTAGAAGGTCACATTAATGCTATCTTGGAACTTTTTTAAATGCCTTTATTTTTGATACTGTTCAGACTTTCATAAAGACAAATGAAATAAAAAAATGAAATCATAAAAATATTAATTATCACTTTTTAAAATTAAGATTACCTTCAATGAACTGATAAAAAAACTATATCGACTGTGTGAAGCATTAAAATTTAATTTAAATCAACTTTGTTTTTCTATCTGTATATATATTTAATTCTATATAATTTCCAATAAAGTTGTATTTTTTTCAAAATGCCAAAAAAGGCAGAATATTATTTAATTGTCTCCATTTAGGATACATGAAACACAAAAGAGTCCAAAGGTGTTTCAAATTAATTTGAGGCTGTTTTGCATTTACATTCTAACACATTTCATGTGGATGGCGTGATATAGTTAATGGTTTTGTAACAGTGCTCTAGTCTTCAGCCTAAGCTGTATATGAGTCAATCAGCTACAGTCACAAGAGTCAAAGAAAGCGTTGTGCTTCTGTATTTCCATGTCAAAGGGAAAATGTATGGTTATGTCTTATCTCCTTACAGCAGCATTGCCCTCGTTTCTTATAAGCGAAAGCTGTTTTAGAACGTTATTGTAAGACAGCTTTGAGTCATAAATGAAACCGTTATTTCAGTGAGCCTGCAAACTCAATGGGATCTGTGATGTCATGTGCCTGTGGAAACCAATAGGATACAAATAAAATGTCTCCCATGTTCACAGCTATTGAATACAGTAGCTCTTTTCCAAAACCTATAGTGAGCTTCTGACCTACACAGCATTGTGAGCCTTTACGTGCACATCTGACATGAAACAAATACCTACTTTTGTCCAAATTCTAAGGCAGTGCTGCATGCATACATCATGGAGAAAGCAATTTTAGAAATAATACAATTCTCCCCCAACACACTTTTTTGGAAAATCATCATTATATTTTTTTGCACAAGTTTGCTTGGTCACTTGCAGGGGAAAATAATAAACAAGCATGTAAGCACTAAACGATAATCCCACAACTAGGATTTACCTAGCAACATCTGCTGTTCAGCAAATTAAGGAAACGTCACATAATGTAATCCATATTCATGACCAAAGTCGTGCCTGACACAGCTTTTGTGCTGAGCTGCTGACAGAAAGTAAACTTCCTGTGTTGAGAAGACAAGAACAACAGAAGAGAAGAAAAAAAAAGAAATTTTTGACAAAAAAACATGCATCTTTATATTCAATGTTGCAACAGGTTTTAAGCCTAATTATTAAACTTTTCTAACAAACAAAAAAAATTACAGTAAAGTTTATTTTTTAAGCTTTTTTTTTAGATGGCAACGTGTGTGACGAGAGACTGTCAGGATTTATAATGTGTCTCACCACTATTTGTATAATTCCTACAGAGATGCTAAAACATTATCAGTAAATAGAGTAAAATAACACTTTACTTGAAGGGGTGTGCATAAGACTGACATGACACCTTCATAATCACGACATGACACAGGTTGTATGCATGTTTAGGACAACTGTCATTAAGTGTCATTCGCTCAGTTATGTCATTTTTAATGCAAATATGACATTATTTGACCTAACCCTAACCTAACCCTACCCCTACCCTTACCCCTAACCATAGCCCATAACAAAGACATCTCAAACAATGTCATCTTTGCATAACAATTACATAACTGAGTGAATGACACTTAACGACAATTGTCATAAACATGCATAAAAAAAACCTTCATATTCATGACATGTGTCATGTCATGATTATGTAGGTGTCATGTCATGATTATGAAGGTGTCATGTCAGTCTTATGCACACCCCTTCAAGTAAAGTGTAACCAAAAAGAACAATATTTTGCCCTTTTCAAAATGTTTTAATTGTACGCATACACTACCATTCAAAAATCTGGGTTCAGTAATATTTTTTGAAAACAATTACTATTTGTATTCAGCATTTAATTGATCAAAAGTCACAGTAAAGAAATGTATAATGTTACAAATATTTATTTCAAATAAATGCTGTACTTTTGAACTTTCTATTCATTAAATAATCCTTAAAAATGGCTTCCACAAAAATATTAAGCAGCACAACTGTTTTCAACTGATAATAATAAGAAATATTTCTTGAGCAGCAAATCAGCATATTAGAATGATTTCTGAAGGATCGTGTGACACTGTAGACTGATAATGATAGCCAAGTAATGATAATAAAAATTCAACTCTGCAAGACAGGAATAAATTACATTTTTTAAATATAAAAAAAAATAAAACAGTTATTTTAATATTGTGAAATTAATTAAATGGACACTCCTGTGCATAGTGTATATCTACAATGGCACTGTTAAGAAAAAAACTTTTTTTTCTTTTTTTGTGAACTGTGAGTTATGAGTATGCAGATATTTTCTTAAACCTTAAGAATAGACAATGCATGTAGGTCTACTATGATAGCGTATAAGCTCAGTTAAAATCCTTCAGCAATTTGCACTGTTGGTTTAATGGATTTGCAAAGTCTTAGTATAATGGGTAATATTTTAAAGAGTCCAATGTTGAAACACATGAAATAAAGACTTTTGTGTACAAATGTGCATTTCTAATGTGTCTGCCAGGGTGCTCTAAATATGTCTGTAGTGTGCTTACATGATATAAATATATATTTTTTTTTTCTTTTCTTTTTCTTTTTCAGGTAGCCACATAAATATGCTTTGTGGTGCAGTCCTTATGGGGTGTGTAATGGCTGTGAATGGATGAGACGGGTGATTGTATTTAATTACTTGGCAAATTCAGTCATCAAATATCCAGCTAAGTGTTCACAGGTGAACAGTATTTAATGTAATTAGACATGTGAGCTGATTGGACAAACAGGCTTATAAAAGACAAATGCCTGCCTAGATGTGTAGCTGTGCTGGTTGTAATAGTGTTTTTTGTTTTGTTTGGAATAGCAGAATCACTTTTCAACAAAGCTGTTTTGTTAGAGTCTTTTTTTTCTGCTATGGGTCAAGGGTGGAAGCGGTTAGTTAAATGTTTTTTTTTATTTTGCAGTGTTCTCGGTTACATTTATTATACAAATTTGTCATTTTTCTTTCTCCCTAGGGTCCACTTATTGGTTTTCTTGATTTTCTTGAAACATGCTGTTGGACTTGAAGGTGAGTGTTACGTTGATGAAATGAGTTTTATATTAAATTGATGACAAACAGTTGCAATTTATATATTTAAAGATGTCAATACTCTTCTTATTCATTGTGCTTATGTTCTCTAGGTTGGATTTCTCAGAATGTTCAGCCTCAGAATTGGTCTGTCCACAAGCTCTTCTCCCCTAGGGAAGTCCAGTCTTCTGTGTTGGAGGCTCCAGTGACTGGAAGCATTCCTGTTGAAGAAGTGGCCTTGAATATGTTTGCTGGGAAGAACCCAAATGCCAGCAGGCCTCCATTTTCCCTTTCACGTCAGTATGTAAAAGGAGGCTTTTCCAGCAGCTATGGATCTATGTCTCCTACCCAAAGTGCACCAACTGTCTTGGACAGCATTTCATCCCTGCTACAACTCCAGGGTTCCTCCAGTCCAAATGCCCAGAATGTATTTACCCAGTCTACTAGTGGACAAGGTTCCTATAGCCAGTCTTCTCCGTATGGCTCTGGACTGCAAAGAGTTTCTGCTGAACTCTCTTCCTCACCAGTACGAGGTGGTAGTTCCAGTGGCTTGTCCATCCTGTCAAAGCTTGGTCTCCCACCTCTTGGTGTTTCTGACCCACCCACCGGTGATCAAAGCTCCTCAAACATGTCTACAAGTGCTCGGCGCAGCTCTGGCCTTCAGTTGGGAGGAACCTCTAGTCTGCTTTCTGCAAAGAGTAGCTCTTCCACAGGGTCCTCAAGCAGTTCCCGCCGTTTCTTTACTTCTACTTATCAGGGCAGCTCTGGGTCACAACTGGCAGGAGGTTCCAGCCAGCTTATTTCTGCAAGTGGTTTGTTCACCCAGTCTCCAAGTACTGAAAGTCAGGATACCCCTGGATCCTCCTATGCGACGCTTGCTGCCTCACCCCTAGTTTTTAGCCAGTCTACCACTGATCAGAGCTCTTACAGCCAGTATACACCAAGCTCAGAGAGCAGCGTTGGCACTCAGCTGGCAGCTTCCCATCATCCTGTACCTGGACAGGGAAGTCGGTATGGTTCATCTGTCGAGCCTCAATATGCCACTAGCCAGCATGCTCCAACTTTTTCCTTGGGTGCAAAACTGCCTGTGTCCAGTCAGTACTATCAAGGAACTCTGAGTGGTTCTCGATCTCAAAGCAAACTATCTCCGGAACCTTCAGCCTCAAGGACCCAAGGATTTCAGGCAGTGTCACAAAGATTTGGTACGTCACAGAGCAGTTCTTGGTCTCCAAGTAGGTTCTCTTCACTGTCTTCTGCAGGAGGTTCTATCAGCTCTACTGATGGCTCTTCTGTACAGTCTCAACATGCCTCCAGCCAGAATGCCCTGGCTTCTTTGGATGCAAAAGTGCCTTTGTACAGTCAAGCTGCTCCAAGTAGTTCATCTCTGTCTCTGAGCTCTCCATCTCAATGGCAGCCTTCCTCTAGGTGGTTGCAGAGATTTCGGGCATCTGATACAGTGGCATCAGAGAGTAGCTCTCCATCTCAAGGCTCCAAGGCTCCCAGTAGGTTGTCTACCTCAGCAGTAAGTCCTGGCCAATTTGCTTCCAAACAGGAAGGAAGTGGCAGGTTTAGTGGCTTGTCCATGCAGTCTCAAAGTACCTCAAGTCAGTATAGTCCTGGGTCCTCTGCATATGCCAAGCTTGCTGCCTCACCCCAAGGTGTTAGTCAGTTAACCAGTGGACAAAGCTCTTACAGCCAGTATACATCAAGCTCCCAGAGCAGGGCTGGCACTCACCTGGCAGGCTCTAGTCACCATGCACCCGTGCAGTCAAGCACCTTTACTGATGGCTCATTCCTCCAGCTTCAAGGTACCTCCAGTCAGTATGCACCTGTTTCTTCGGGTTCAAAAGTGCTTGTGTATAGTCAAACTGCCCCAAGTGCATCCTCTGCTCTGAGCCAGACATCTCGATGGGAACCTTCCACTTCTAGATGGTCCCAAGGTTTTCAAACCTCTGGAGCTGTGGCATCACAAAGCAGCTCTCCCTCTCAAGGTTCTAAGGCTTCCAGCAAGTTCTCTACCCTTACCTCAGCAGCAAGTCCCACCCAATTTGCCTCCAAACAGGAAGGAAGTGGTAGATATAGTGGCTTTTCCAGCCTGTCTCAAGGTACCTCAAGTCAGTATAGCCCTGTGTCCTCTGCATATGCCAAACATGGTTCCTCTCTCGCTGTTTCTAGCCAGTCTACAAATGATCCAATCTCTTCTGGCCTGTATGCATCAAGCTTCCCAAGTATGGCTGGAACTCAGCTGGCAGGTTCTAGTCCTATGCCCGTTCAGACAGGAAGCACCTTTAATGGGGGATCATCTTTCCAGTTTCAAGGTACCTCTAACCAGTATGTCCCTTCTGTGTCCAGTCAATACACTCAGGCTTCTTCAGGTGGATCCTCCTTGACTGGCTCAGAGGCATCTCAAAAATGGCCACCTTCAGCCTCTACTTGGCGCCAAGGGTTTCAGACCTCTGCTACAGCTGTACATCAGAGCAGATCTTCCCCTCAAAGCTCTCAGACTTCCAGTGGATCTTCCTTCCTGCCAGCCCTGAGCCCTTCTGTAGATCATGTGGCCCAGAGTTCTATCTCTAGTCCTCTGAGGATCTCAAGCTTTTTTGGTGTAGGACAACGGCTCTCAGCTCTGGCTGCTTCTGGCTCCCGAATCCATAGCCAAATATCTCCTGGTCCGTCTGCTTCAGTTCAACACCCCTCAGACTCCATGACTTCATCTCTTGGCTCAAGTGTCCAAGGAGCTTTACAAGGTATATTCTCTGGTCAGTCGAGTTCCACCTATGGCCCGAAACCTTCAGGCTATTCCAAATCATCCCAAAGCTCCTCTGCTACAGGACGATACTTCTCATCTGTCAAGGGCTAAGGGACTGCCATGTACATTTGTGCTGTGGCATGTCAGTGATAAATGGTGTAAAGCTGTGCTTTTAATAATCTAACTTTTGAAGCAATAAATTGTTTAATATAAATGTTTCTTTTGTGGTATTTTGAACACTTCAGTTTAAATGCCAAGCTTGCTGCTGGAGTGCAGCCTTAAATCGGGCTACATGCCTCATCTAAGTGCCTTTTTGTTCTCTGGTCATTTACTCATTTTGCCGTTTAAAAAGGTCACCTACGTAAAGACTGGTTTCATGTATCCCCAATGGTAGCTTAACCTACTGGATAATTTGTGGCCCGTTACAATTATACCTGCAGCACATGTATTAACGTGTTGCCACAGCTGGTACAGTAACAGTAAAAAATCACAAGTTAAAGGGGTGGTTTTGGTGTAACCTTTGTTTGAAAGGCAAAATATGCCAGTTATACACGTACTGCCTAAATTAAGTGACTATTTAAACCTGGGAATGGGGTACAAGTTATTCATTCTCCCATGTTTCATGTGTCCAATCTATTCAAACTCCATCCAGCATTTAAAATGTGTGGTGTGGAAACTAGTGTAACTGTTCTTTGCACTGTCTTTACTATTTCAGAGGATCCCAAAATTGAATGTTTAAGGTATCTTGGGGGTAGAACTTTTGAATGGGGTCTTTATGGTGATGGGGAGAAATGGGTGGATTTTGTTTTAACAAGCATATCCTGTGACCGAGACCAAACATGCCTTTGCTCTGAGCATCTTTAGTAAGCCTCCAAGTCAACAGAAGATGAAATTCAGTTTAGTATTCCGCTGTCAGAGAGGGCAGTTAGTCAGCAAAAAAAGTACCAACCCCATCCTTTTTCTTTTGCTGTATTGCTCATTCTTTCACACACAAATTCAGCTTTGGTTTAGTGCAGAGGTATAAAGTATTGGAGTAAATGTACTTAGTTACTCGAGTATCTTTTCGGGTACTTTGTAGTTGTACTGAGTATCAAAGATATTAGCAACTTTTACTCTTTACTTCACTACATTTCTGAATGAGTATCTGTACTCTTTACTCCACTACATTTGAAATGAGTGTTGCAGTTACACATTACATTTTGCATGGACCTAGCTTTTTCTGCAGCAGTTTATTTCTGCTACAAAATAAGTGATACTGCCTGCTACCGGTCACTGCAAGTACTGCGTTTTGCCCTTACTCACCCGAACTTGTCAACAAGGCTACTTTGTGAATGCGAGTTCCTTAGCAAGTATTTGTGAATCAGAAGCGTTTTATGAGATACATGACTGCAGCCGGCAATGAGGCCCAAACCAGCACAGCCAGTGCTTTGTTCTCTTTGGGCTTTGCTTTATTGTTTGTTCTAGTTTTTCCATGAAATACCAGCACATAGATCCTTGCCTCTGCCTGTTTTCCGCAGCTTCTCCACAATGTTAGTTTATCACTGGCATGTCTCTTTGACTAGTGCAACTGTGAGCCTATATTTAGTATAAGTAAAATACTTAAGTACTGTTAAAATCAGATACTCTAAAACTTTTACTTTTGGAATTGGTGACTTGTAACATGTAGTGGAGTAATTTTCACTGTAAGGTATCTGTACTTTTACTCAAGTATGTTTTTAGGTACTCTTTACACCTCTGGTTTAGTGTGATTTATTTGCATGAGGAAATGTGTATTGCTAAATTGTTACAACATACTGTGTACATTAATATTGTAAAAATAAGAAAACCGCAAATGGTAACGTGTATCTAGCCTCATCAGCTGTGATTCTAAGTAAATGTGTGTAGTCACTATACTGTACTTCGTGTCAACATTTTTGATTGATGATGACATGCGTCCTTTTGCCCTGAGGGGTTTGACCCCTTGACCTTGGACCACCCATGTTACTTTCACCTTTGACCTATTAATAATCTCCGGGGTCAATATGCCCTAGGGTTTTAGCATATTTGGAATTCCAACGTTGACCCGTGACCTTTTAATCATCTCTGGCTGTCAGTGTGACATATGATTTCAGTATATGTGTAATGCTGTCATTGACCCGTGAATTCTGGGGTTGCAATATGAAGATTGATTTTGAACCTTAACAGGCCAAATCTGAAGCCCCCAGGTTCATTTTTGTAATTATACATCCGGCTGCATCTGTTGACCACATGCGGCTATCCAGCCTCATTCCATCTCATGGTCACTCTACTTTCATGTGAGGCAAGAAGGTATCAGCCAAATCTAATGATGTACAAACAATATCAAAATAATTTAAAGAATTCACCATTTTCATTTTCATTAAAACCATATGCCATTTTGACAACCGGAGTTAATTAAAAGGTCACAGGTCAATGTTGGAATTCTAAATATGATAAAACCATATGGCATATTGACTCCAGAGATTATTAATAGGTCAAATGTGAATGTAATGTGGGTGGTCAAAAAGGACATCGTCAGTCAAAAAAGTTGACAGGAAGTCCTGCAAAGTGACTACTAACATGTTTTGCATCATAGCTTTTACCTGTCATGTATTTCAGCTGATTGACCATCTAGGATAGTAGAGCTGTTATCCAAATAGGCATGTTATTACTGTGGCAAGGTCATATGGTCACTAGTCTCAGATTCAGACAGCCTGCCCAAAGAATGTCTACAATCTGTTCACTGACCTAATAACTGAATTTGCCACGGTTAGTTGCAAAAGATATTTAAGTTTTATTTGAGGAACTCAGTAGAAAGACAGGTACACAGATTTACAAATTCTGCTTAGTTTTTGAGTCATGACTGTGAACTACCGTATTGGCCCGAATATAAGACGGTGCCAATGTGAGATATGAGTATCACAAATAACATTAATACTGTGAGATCTGAGTATCACTAATAACATTAATACGGTGAGATATGAGTACCAATAATAGCATTAATACTGTGAGATATGTTACTTCTAAATACTGTACCTGAAAAATGAAGCACTGTTTCTTTTATTTGTATATTATGTGTATTTGTAATGTATATCTTTGTTCTTATTTTCTAATAACAAAGATAAAATAATGACAAAGATTTTTATCTTTGCTCGCTTTGGCCTAAACGTCTGCCATTGTTTTTTATTTTATATTTTGTTAAGGTGTAAGAGGTGTTGTTTCTGCACTCTTCCATTTTTAGCAAATTAAGAAAACTTTGTCTAAAAACAATTTCTGTGATGGTTTGTATTTTTTGTGCTCTGTATGGAACATCAGTGCCTGTTTAAGTGATGAACTCCATTACTTGGGTTTTTTTTCAGACATGATAACAGACATTTTATACTTGTGCTACAACGTTTTGGCCTGTGCTACAAAACTTTCAACCTCTGTAGCACCAGTGCTATGTGAAAAAAAGTTAACGTACAGCCCTGCTAATAGTAGCCTACCAAAATCGTATTAACAGTAGAAGTTAAATCTTACTGTAGTCTTCAAATCTGGGTACTGTCTTACGTTTTAAAATCACTAAGGGAGTTTGGTCCCATCAGGCTAACGTGACAGTCACGACTCATGCAGCTGTAAGGTTTTCTTTTTCTTTTGTTTTTACTCACGATCTTTACAACACGCATTACATTACGTATTTCATGGCACACTCGTTTTATGCGTATTTGGTGCCACCTATTGTTGTGGGTGTATTATTGACATGTCAAAGTCTAGACCCTGAATATAAGACGACCGCGTTTTTTCAGATGTATTTCCAAGAAAAAAACATTGTCTTATATTCGGGTCAATACGGTAATTCATTACATTTGGATGGACAGCAATTCTGACTAATTTTTTTTTTATTATTGTAATATCAACTACAGTATTTCAGGTAAACCCCTCCCTAATGGCACTTAAAAACAATAAGTGTGACTGTCCCCCCCAACCCCCCCAGATTACAAATTGGGAGAGAATGTGAACAGATACATTTATCCAGAATTATTGACCTTTTAGGGTCAGGCAGACTTTACCCGTCTCTTTCAGCAGTTGACAATTTATGTTGCATCTTTTGCTTTCCTCTCTCTCTCTCTCTCTCTCCAGCCTTGCACAGCTAGTGGGTCTTTGGGACCACCTGCATAAATATCACTGTTTGAACACTCAGCAGAAGAAATCACAGGGGCAGAACAGATCAATACTTCCATTTTCTTCTTGTTAAATGATAATAATATTTCACAATATTACTGTTTTTTTTTACTGTATTTTTATCAAATAAATGCAGTCTTGGTGAGCAGAAAATACTTATTTTAGAAGCATTAACAATATAAATCCTAAATCAGTTTTGTTTGGATGCTTCCTATTTAAGAAGTAGACACCAAGGCTGCTAGCTTGGTTCTAGAACAGAGCTAGTGAACATCCAATTATTATTATCCTGAAATCTCTCACTGTAAAATAACAGAATTGATAACAAGTCCCTCAAATCATGCAAGCACCAGAAACAGCAGGGATTCTCAAAGATGGCACAGTTGCTTCGACTTGCAGCATATGCAGTAATTACATCCTAATAATGATTTATGAATAAAAATCTAAGAAGGCCGAAGGCTGGAACAAAATAAAGCAAAAACTGAGGGGCCACTGGAAAACAAAGCCAGAAAGACCGCTCGTGATTAGATTGCACTGTGCATGAAAATGATTGTTGTTGTTTTTTTTATTCCTTTTCAACTCCTTTCTTTAAAAACCCAATTTTGTACTCACATTTCATGTTTAATAAGTAACAATGAGCTGCCAACAATGGCTTTCTGCTCCTTTCATACACTGCAAATATGATCACGAAAGATTTTTTGGATTGAGCAGCTGCTGAATTTCCACTGAACCTTCAAATGAAGATAAAACAAAAAGCCTGGAAAAAAGTTCTCGGGGTTTCACTGAGGTAGAGCAGAATAACATGAAATGGTAAAAGAACCAGGGCTCAGCTCGCCATGCCATTTCAAGAATTTGCTATATTTCACTTGCTTTTGAACACTTGTCTAATTTGAATGCAGATCTGTAGTCAGTCCTGAGAAGGAGAATGACAGCGCCATAATTAAACATCTTTACAGTAGGTCCTGCAGGTAACTCTGTCTGTCACGATTACTTTGACTGAGAAATTCACTAAGAATAAATAAATTATTAATTAATTATTAAATTAATCAATTCATTTGT